TGGAGATATTTTGTCCCCAGGGGAGAGACCATCGAAAAAGTTCAAAAACAAAAATTCGCATCGCTTACATTTATGCTATTGTTGAAAATATAGAATTTAAGGAAAAATATATAACATAATTGAGATTGCCAAATTTAACACCTATAGATATATCAAATTAGTTTTTTCTTTACTACTTTTTTTAACTTTTGAATGAAACTTAATGCAATTGCTTATTTATTTATTTAATTGCTTGAACTCGCTAGTTAACATAATGCATATTAGTTATTTTATGTAAAACATTTGCAGCTGATCAAAGCTTTTAAATCAAAACCTCGTTATCTATTCTTCTAGAATTCGGTGCATAAAAACAATGGATAACTTTAATTAAAAGTAAATTTGAATGAATTTAACAGCTTTCTCATTTGTTTTAATATTCTTTGACCTTGTTTTTATAATTTTAGAAGAGACTGCACAACCCAATTGCTTACATTAAGCAAAGTTTCTGAAACATGAATAATATAAAACACATTAGGAAGCAAAGAACAAAGTGTGCAGATGAGAAAGTTTCACGAATTCGCTATTATTTCTTCTCTAGATATCTCTACTTATCGGAAACATCTCGAATGAGTTCCAACAGCATAAAATGCCTAACACCCGTGTCTAACTTTTGATGTTGTTATAGTTTGACAGTAATTTCGTAATTCGACTAATGTGGATGAGTTTAATGTAATTAGAGTTAAACAACCAAGAAAAAGAATTTTTAGATGTATTCGATTTAAACTTTGAAAATTTGGTCAGCATGATTTGGTCAACCCTCATCATTGGGAGAAATTCCATCATTCCGTCGTTGGTAAAATTAAATAATACATACAATTTTAATTTAAGGTTTCTCGTTTTGTTTTTATGAATATTTGAATACAACAAGAAATAATTAAAACAACATTTATGAAGAAATTTGGGGGCATAAATGATAACTTGGAATGAACAAATATAATTAAGCAAAATGAGGATGACGCCAAATTAACATTTGGTCGCATGGTTGTTATGTAAATAAAACAGCCAACAGTTTCCTAAAAATTCTTTCTAAAAATATGCTAATGTAATCAAAAATTTAATTCGAGATAATTACAAAAAATTAATTACGGAAGCCAGAATATTTTCACACCCACGTTTTTATAAAATACTTAAGGTATTTGACTTAAAACAATTATACAATATACTTTATGTGCAGCACGCGTTCTGAATTTGAATTTCGAGAAGCATTCTATATTTAATATGCTTTATGCGTTATTATTAGTATTAAATTCGAAACAATAAGTTTACTCGTCACGTCACTTACTAATTATCTTTAGAGATAACAGACACCAATAATAATATCACGTTCATATATACGTAAGGCAACGGGCAAAAGCTCGGAAGTCGGAGGATATTAAATCATAAAATCACATTACTTGTATTTAAGTGTATTAGGGAATTTATGTAGTAGATTCAGGAACAAATACATTGGGTTTGTATTAGAACTTCTTGTGTATGTGTAATGAACAGAATTCGAAGCGAAAATAACGAAACAAAAAGTCTTACGCGATGCAGGTGACTGCCTAAAGGTAGTGTTTGCCAATTATCCTTATTATTTTATTTAGGAAAGAAGAAAAAAGTTTTGACAGAAATATATGTGAATTGGTACGTTTATATTACCAAATAGTTCATTCAACAGTACACACAAATATTAAAATAATATTTAATAAAATAATCAGTTATTTTAGATTCATTGAACAAAAAACGAAATATATACCTCTTTCAAAGTAACTATTTCTTCATGAATAATTAATCAAAATCTTAGAATTCAAAAAAAGACTGAATGAAAAGTATTTAAAAAAAGATGTCTGCAACTATATATGACGATTTGTAATTTTGTTGAAAAACCAAATAAAATTAAATAAAATACATACAAGATAAAAAATAAGAAAATCATCACTGAGAATTTTTTGAACAAATATTCAATAGATGCAAAATATAGCTTATTAGTTAAAAAATGTTCAAAATCAGATAGTTTATAATGTAATTTCATTCTCAATAAATAACAATGCTTGCCAACAATTATAAAGGTAGAATAGACCTAGACCATCCTAACCAATTAACCATGTATATACCTAGAAGGCCAGCCGACCAGGTTTAAAAGAAAAATATCTGGAGACTTAGAATAGTATAACTAACTATAATACTGTCATTTTACTATATTTTATTGTTTTTTCCCTTTTGTTTTTAGTTTTTTTTTTATTATTCTTATATTTTAATTAGCTCTAGTAGTCAGCATTCTCTGCTTAATGTAATAATATAATATAAATTTTGCAGAATAAAATTGAATAAAAAAATTCACAATAATGGTAAAAATAACAAAAATTAGCACAAAAATATAAGAATCAAATTTTAATATTTTTGAATATAAAATCCCAAAAAATGTTAATTTTTATAAATAAAAATTTTCTGTCATTTGATCACAGCTGCAAGTTTCAGGATGTTGTTGCTAATTATAGCTTAAATAAATAAAATAACTGTAACGATTTTTATTAAATCTAATTTTTATGACGTAATTTTAATTTTTTATTTCATTTAGAAATAAAAAAAATCAGCACACAGCACAGCAAAAATATAAGATTTGAATTTCATTATTCCCATATAAAATGTGTTTGATAAATAAAAGTGTTTCCTATTATTTGATCACAGCTACAAGTTTCAAGAATTAGCTTTTAATTACAGCTTAAATAAATAAGCTCACATATAAAAAATACCTATCAAGTGACTATAATTATTATTAAAATACAATTGTAGATCTTTAAAATATTGTTTTAAGGTTTTGAGAAGCTTTCTAAAAAGTGTACAGATATGTAAAACGACCGAAATAAAATTTCTCGGAAACACTGCACAGAAAATGTCTGAAAGCAATTCACTTCCTTTTTACAGTAGAACGACATTCTGTAATATGTTGAGCATTCGAGCATTCACACGATGATTAAACTCGATATCGTATTGCAGATCAAAACGATCATAATGTAACTCATCTGATATGAAACGATACATCCATGAAAAACTGTGATTAGGATGATTCAATGGAAAAATATGTATTTTATCATATCGGTTATAAATATATGAAATCGAATAATCTACCGTCTGAGAGGATGCTTAAAAAACATTTTTCCTCGGCCACCACAGTACCTAAAGAAGTTGGGGATGTAATGCAAGATATGAAAGCACCCGAGGCTTAAAAAAACAAGCAGAGTCTGTGTTCGAGTAGTTTACACGACTGAACGTAATAGATGTACTGTGTTGATATTTATGTGTTTCTATATACCTACCAGGACGATGTTGTTTGAAAAACAAATTATATTTCTAGAGATTGCCTCACGCAGAATATAAATAGCACAAACCGATATTATATGAAAAATATGTCAGCATTTAGAGATATATTATATTACTCCATAAAAGTGGAACATACTGATAAATAGCGACGTTTTTTGTAAAATACTTTGATGATTTTTTGCTTGAAAAAAAACGATGTACCAAGAGGTAGGTATATGCGATAGAAATAATAATTTGAGTAGCCATATATTCATAAGCGTATTCTGCAATATATTGTCAATTCAATATTCAAACTATTAACGCTATATATTCGTTACATAATGGATTGCTTGTATTTATTCAATTCAGAAATATTTTAGAAAAAATGCCACAAAAATTATTATTTTTATATTTTTTAGTTAGTCCTGTTCTTTAGTTACACTATAAAACTTACTATAAAATTTCATATATATTGCTGATTTATATATGACAAAACCGTTTGTACCAAGAAATGCTGTTGACTAATTAAAATTTTCATTACATTTTATTTTCTTTATAAAAAAGAAGTTTCAACAATACTATTCCTTTTCTGTTTCTATTGATTATCATTAGTGATAAATGCTAAAACTTTGTATTGCATAGAATTCTAATTAGGTTTCCGTCGGAGAATAAGTATAATGTATAGCTTTGTGAAACATTGCCATGAGATCCGAGTGGACTTGATTACTCATTGAATTGATAGCAGAACATTTATTAATGGCTAATGATACTTGAGAGTTCTCATTAGAAACATAATACAGGATTCGCAAAGGCTAACTACCTGCGCTACAAGGATCCATTTCAGACCAAAAGACGGTTTTATTGAATGACAGCGTAAGAACATAAAATTAATGTCCTGTCTTACTAGTTGGAATAGGGCACATTTCACACGACTGACAGGAATGTAATCAAACCAAAATACATTAAACCGACGAGCATAGATAAAATTTGCTTCAAACTATAATAGCACATTTTAAACAATGCATATATTACACAGATAACACATAAAACCTATATTAACGTTGAACTTGTAATTATCGACTATACAGATTTGATGTACAAATGCATGCTCTATATTATTCGTTCTTATTGCATAGTAATGTACAATCACAATATACGCAGAGCCTGTCAATTTTTACTACCGACATTGAGAGAAGTCATAAACCTCATTCACATGGAAATAAAATACGAATGTATCTAGGATGCAGTTGGAAACCCAATGACAATTTGAACAAATATATCGTGCAAGAAAAACTAAATAAAACAGTATATATACAAATCAGACGTATATATATATGAATCAAATCACCATAAAAAGCTATAAATGACGCATTGAAGGTATTCCAAAAAAATTACATTTGAATATCCATAACTTTCAACATTCTTAATACAAGTTTGTATATTGCGATTTATTGTATCTCAAATCAAAATCATTTCTTTTACTCAAATGAATTTTGCTTTAAGTTTTCTTGTCCTTCAGACTTCTTGATGAGAGATTTTCATACACGATTTTTTATAATTGAAATATAATTCATGGCAGTAATGTATTCTGTGTGGTATCATCAGATGCCACATCAGATCTATAGATAAATAAATTAGAACATGTAGATATAATAAATTTATAAATAAATCAACAAACTCACGTGTATTATCAAATCCAGTGATAAAATCAGGACACGGTGCCATTGCACTTGAACCAGCAGGTGTATCTGGCCAACACAGCCAACCGTCAAATGTCCCATGACAATATGGTCCTGCAATAATAAGAGAATAGGGCTATTATTGGAATTATCGGACTGATTTAATATGCTTATTCTATAGTAAAATAATCCAAATTTATGATCACAATTTATATACCATTTTCGATTCGGCCTACATAGCTCGGTAATCTGATGCACTGTATTGGTGAAATATTATATCACATTTTATTTACTAATAGTACAAATAAATATCAAGTAGTTATACTAATTGTAATGGCAAAAAAAGTTGTCAAAAATATACAAATGAAAACTCTATAGTAACAAATTACTTTAAATGAAATTTTAAGTATAATTCTGTTTTAGATCCTATAGGTATATAAAACTAATTTATTGAAGGTGCTGAAAAAGGCATATTGGTCTCTATTCTTTTTAGAAAATCTATAAAAACATGAGAATCTAATTTATATTTCATGATTAAAAAACACTTTTACGTGCTAGGATCTGCGATTACGCTGCAACCAATTTTGTAGTCTTTGGCGACAAATACCTTAATCCCAAGGCGTCTAGATGGCTTCGCATTCAAATTCTGCTGCGCGACTTGGAAAACGGAAGCAGAATGCCATCGGATTACACGGCCGTCGACCGCGATTTATTTTTTTACCGCTTTTTGGTAGTTTCTTTCCTATCCTTTTCAGAAAGCTTTTTAGATATGTTGTATCGTTTAAAGGCTTTAATGCAATGCATAATAAATTAGGTGTGGTTATGCAATGTCGGCTAACCACAAGCATTTTTCTTTGCGCTGTTACCAAAAACAAAAGGGGACTATCCTACGTGGCGTCTCCACCGTACTAGTACAAAATTGTACTAAGAAAATAAATTGGACGAATTGAAGAAGCAAGAAGCACAAAATTTTACTATTTGATTTGTATATATATATATATATATATATATATATATATATATATATATATATATTGAATAAAATTTGATATAACTGTAACGCACATAGAAGATCGTAAATTAAAATTCATTGAAGTTTCTTCTATCGAAGTACTATAAAATATACCCTGGATTTACAACACATGCATAATACATATTACCGTCGGAAATTTTATATGTTTTTCAATGCATAAAACCAAAGCAATAAACAATTTTTTCATAACCCGCTTTATGTGCATTCACATACAAGCATATATGTATTGTAACAGGTATTAAAATAGATCATATATATATATATATATATATATATATATATATATATATATATATATATATATATATATATATACTATTGAATATATTCAATAGTACTTGTATATTAATTAAGAGAGAAGTCAACATTCGAAACATATTACATAATAAATATTTTCCAATTGAGTTATACAATTTATTCAAATTGTTTATTATTAATTAAATGACATATATTTGAAGCAATTGTTTCAAATTGAAATGAAGAAAAAAAGTGACGCAAAAACAATTTGTATTGATATTTTTGCTATTTTATACACCCACAATATTGAATTCTATTCAATATTACTAATATAATATAATTGGGTAAATTGCATTTATGTTGATGATTTATTCAAATATAGAAAGATAATTAAAATAATAATATTTCATTTGATACAAAATTAATTCATTGAAGTTATAACCAAATATCGAAAGGTAATTGAAAGATAATAAAATATACATTAGTAATTAGTTTTAATTTGGCATGATAGAATTTCTTGTACCAATACATCATATGCAATAAAGAATCATAAAAAGATCACTTATTTTCTTTAATTACATGGCTTCTATAAGCAAGAACCAAATGGCTTATACGATACGCGATATTCTTGTATAACTTGTAATTTAACCTCACAGTCCATTAGTCACAAATCACAGTAATGTGTGCTATATCAATTAATTCAGCAGTATTGTATTTAGGACGTACAGTACGAAAATAAAATCCACATCATTATATATAACAATCAGATATGTCAAATCAATTCTTTCTTTGCAATACTACTTATTTTTAATATTTAAAAAATATACGTAAATGCGTTCCAAATTTTCATTTACCTGAACCAATATTATATTTAAAAAAATATTTTGTTTAAAATTATTTGAAAAATGATATAATCACTTCAAAGTAAAGTAATATTTACCCTGCCTAATGAGAAAACAAAAAACATATCCCAATTTAACCAAAAATAGTTTTAAACTATGTTGGAAATCATTCTTTTTCATTTATATTAATTTTTTTTTATTTATTCAGATTACATTTTTCAATAAATATTGATGTATAAATTATTTGAAATAATGAAAATAAAATCTATCAAATAATACATATTTTATCTTTGATTGTTATAACATCAAACATTCAATCTGTTACTGACAAATACCAATTAAATAAACGTCAATCCGGATGGAAATACAGAAGCATTCTGATATCATGTATTCAACTGTGAATTGCATTAAAAATATAAATAACTAAATTGATTGCATTCGATTTCAAATTCAATATTACACTAAGGGAGCATGATAAAAATATTATCAACCTTATTTTATTTCATTTGCATATATACGTTATATAGTTTGTATATAGTTTTATAGATACAGTAATTATAATTTTCTCTCAATATATGCCTGCAATGCAATTTTAATTATATTTTCATAATATTGGAGATTATTAGAATAAAATTTTGTCTGAAACAAATGGAATCCTAATAACCTATAGAATAGTATTCTGAATGTTATTCAAATAGTTAATTAAACAACTTATATATAATGAATGGTAAGTTAAACTTTGATATTCAACAAAAGTGTATGTAGCAACACGTTTCATACTGCATTAAGCTACTCCTACCTCATGTCAGAGATAATAAAACCGTGAAGACATCTTAAACTAACCATCTGTAATATTTTGCCATTATGTCATACAATGTATAAAATAGTTATTACTTTGCTCTCTAAAGGATTGGCTTATCTTTAATTTAATTAAATTCTGTTGTGACCTGAGCTCGTGCTCGGGAGGTGAATTATTTTAAAATCCACACCGGGACTTATCTACGGTGATGCAAGGCATTCTTCTGCGACCACGCTAATACTTTACCTCAAGATAAAATGCAACGAAAAGAACGTGGTATCGCAAAAAATTTTAATAAAGACATAATGCTTTATGAGATAACAAAATGCGCAACTGCTTACCAGACAAAGTAGTTTTATCATAGACCATTCTTAGGACTTTATTATATAAAAGTTTTATTTTTAAAAATAGGACGAAAATAGGTAGAGTCGTTTACTAATGGTAAACGTAAATTGTTAAGCTTCAAATTGTGCCTGCTCCACTACTTTTTCTACAAATTGTACTACCTATTATGTTTAAAATTATTACTTAATTTGATGCCATATACATGTAAATTATTATTTTCATTGATTTTATAATTAATGAAAAAATGCTTTTAGAGCACTCCTTTCTCGCTAGAGTCGACGTATACGCCTTATTGTGATTCATGCATATTCCGTTCGAACGAACTCATTTTTACAACTCATAAAATAACGTGTTCGATATCATAGAATGAGAATCACATTACTTGTAATATTCAAACAGTGGTTAACAATCTTTTACTAGCTAATATTGAAATAACAATTTGCACTTTATTACTCAAAAAATTGTTCAAATAAGTCTATACTCAACCATCTACAAAATTGATGTTGCATTTATTAAAATCTTTCTATGGACCAATCAATCAATTCAGAAAAATTTATTGACTAGAACGTTATTTTCAAATCGCATTAAAGCTAAAATTGCAATATTAATATAGTACTTTATCTAATATAACATTTTACTAAGTTCTCATTTATTTTAATATCTTTTTAATTTATCATTTGTTACAGGTAAGAATAAGAATGTCATTTTTTATTAAAATGCTTTTTCAAGTTTAAACTTTTCTCATAAAATTCAATTAGCGGCGGTGTTTGTCTTCAAAGTAATGAACGCAAAAGCAATAAAATAGTTGAAAAGTTTAATGCATTTTATTAATTGACCCATTTATGAAGTAGTTTGATATGTTTTTCTGAAGCAAGATAGATGTCAAATGATAAAAATCACAAAATTTAATTTTTTAATATAATATTTCAGTACTATTGTATGAATTGCATTTAAATTTCATAAAAATTGAGCTTAAGTTGTGATTAATTAAAAGGTGCCATGAGATGCTGTTACACAATGAGGTGGTGCAGTTGCACTTGATTTATAAAAAGCATAAACATGAATAATTCTCAAAAAGTGTATTTATTAGGTTTGGGATATAAAATATTTCAAGTGAATAATTGTAAATTTTCATGTCTGAGATTGCTTTTAGTGATATAGAAATATAAAGTGATGATAAATTTTCCTTTACTTATCATTTCAAGTTATTTCTAATTTCAAAATAATTTTCTTCTTATCACAATTTTAATTTTAGCAGAAACCGGAGGTGGTTTTTACCTTTTGTTTGTACTCTTTCCATTACGCTAATAAGAGATCATAACGCTTCATGCGTTACAATAAGAGATATCCAAAGACTTTTAGGAGAAAAAGCTCGGGGACATCTGTATTAAAGTCCTTTTTCCAAGTGAGCGGAAGGAAGTAATTTTCGGCCAAGTTACAATATTATTATAATAAAACCTTTGGTGGAAAATGAAAGATCTCTCTTAATTTTCATTTGGTAAAATTTACATTATATTTTTAAATCGTTCAAAAAAAACAAACCTTACTTTTAACAAAGCCAATATCAAGGCTAATTGATTAGCTGATATATGTACCCTAAAATATATTTGAATAACAACAATTTTATTATATTTCATATATATGTTTAGATTGAATATCCAATCAATACGTCATATTTATTTCAATAGAGGTCATATTTGAAAATACAATGTTGTACAAACATGCATATGCATAAGCGATAATTTTATTATATACATTCATACAATTCCTGGAAGTAAATATAAAAGAAATATATTGGTGGAGAACGTGCTCGCAGCATTTTCAAAATATTTTTTGGAATATAGTGGTAGACATATAT